GGACCCAGAAGGGCCTGGAGAGAGGGCAGAGAGTGGCCTACCCCAGGGATCCTGCTCCAGGCCAGGGCGGGGGAGACGGAAGCCCTGGGAAGGTCAAGAAGGGACCTCACCCACAGAGAACCACCTTCCTCAGACCAGACCGCCCACACCTTGGGCTTTCTATCTAGATCACCTATGAGGTGACTGTGTTTTTAGCTGAAGCCAGGGGCCCTCCTCTGCCCCAGCCAGTCAGAGTGGCCTGTGCCTTGGCCACGCCCGGCACAAAGAGGCCAGGACAGGGCCCCTGTCTCTGGGCACAGTCTCAGTCAGATGCTCTGCACCACAGCGTCTCCGGGAGGCAGCCGGGGGTGGGGGTGGGGGTGAGGACTCCTCCACTCCTGTCCACCATGACCAGGGGGCGAGAGAGCCTAGGCCCAAGGCAGCCGCCCCTGCCCTGCAGTCCTCACTGGGTCTGTCCCTTAAGACACCCCTTGGAGGTGTCGGAGGTGTCGGAGGAGCCGTATGATTACTGATTTGGGGCTAGCCCCCCCCCCCCGCAGGAAGCAGGGGCTGTCTCCTGTGTCTGGCACTGAGCCTGCATGATGGGGGGTAGATATTTGGGGGTGGGAAGGGTAAGGCCCAGAGGTCCTCAGTCGGGGCAGGTAAGATGGGAGAGGCCACCATCCTAGGGACAGGGCGAGGGCCACAGCCAGCTTTGTGGGTCCCGTCCAGGTGGTAGAGCCAGCATGGGATTTTCTAGCTCTGGGGTCAAATGCCATTTTTCCAGATGGGCACATCACTATGTCATTGAGTATCAGTGGAAAATGAGGGACGGTGTCAGTCAAGCATGTCATGGGGAGTCTCAAGAAGAGTGCTGAGTGCCGGTCATACTGCCCAACCTGAAACCCACACCTCGCTCACAAAGCCTTGTCCCTGGACAGGCTCCCCATGTCGCCCTGCCCGGGTGTGCACCCAGGGAGTCAGTTCTGAGCCTGCAGCCGCTGCCCCAGCCCCAGGCTGCCAGCACGGGCAGACACAGCCCTATGGTGTCCAGTGGGGACCCAGGGTGTTGAAGAGCCGCTGCAGCTGTGCACAAGAGCACTGGCCTCCCCTGCCATCAAATGTCCCTGTCCCTGCCCCTTATGGGTCCGGAGCAGGACTCAGCAAGGAGGGTGGCAGGTGGCATGCCGGGCCCCAAGGGAAGGGCAGGGGTGGTGCCTGTCCTGTGCCCGCTGGTGATGGCGTGGGTGTGACTGCCGCCCTCCCATCCTGCGCAGGTGGAGAAGGAGAACTTTGTGATCCAAGAACTGAAAAACCACCTGCACCAGGTGCTCAAGTTCTCCGAGAGCAGCCTCCTGCGCACCAAGCAGGAGGCCGAGAAGCAGCAGAAGGCCGACTCCCGGGCGTCGCAGGCCAGGCTGGCCAAGCTCCAGCAGGAGATCCTGACCCTTCGCTCACAGTACCACAACCTGGTCATGGAGAACCGGGAGGCCGAGCAGGCGCTGAGGAAGGTGCCCGCGGGCGGGGACACAGGGGCTGCAGAGGGGCCTCCTTTCTGCTTCTAGGATTCACTGATCCTGGGCACCCTGGTTCCTGCCACTCAGCACCTTGTCCTCAAGGTAGCACACGGTAGCACGTGTCATTGCCTCAGTCCTTTTTCTGGCTGAATAACATTCTGTCATATGCCTGTGAGCTGATCCTCTAAAAGCATCTAGATCCACCCAGTGGCTTCCCCTCTCCCTTATTTGAGAATCCAAAGCTTCATGGTCACCCCTTCAGTGACACTTGGGTGTCGTCAGGGACCACTCCCATCCTGGCCACTCCGTTCTAGCCACGCAGGCTCAGTGTGTCTTAAACACCTCAAGCCTGTTCCCACCTCAGGGCCTTGGCACCTGCTGCTCCCCCTGCCTAGAGTGTCCTCGGAGCCACTGCTGACAGACCACCCACTAGCTCTGTCCCTTGAGGCAAGCGAGTGAGCAGGTCTGAGCCTCGGTTTCCTCATCTGTGAAATGGAGGACGAGGCTGCCGGAGCGGCGCAGCAGGAGAGGTGGGAGAACACTGCCACACAGGGGCCTGCGTGCATTGCTCAGGGCTGTCCGGGTCGGCATTATCCCATCAAACCATGACTGTGGGCTTTTGTGGGGGTTTTTTTCTAGAAAAAATATAAAGTGGAGACAGAAATCGAGAACTGGATCCAGAAGTACGACTCGGAGATGAGTGAAAAGCAGGTATTTGTCACTAAGTCTCTTTCTAGTGGCTTCCCAAGCCAGATCCTTGAGGAATAGGAGGAATGGAGGAAAGGTCCCAGGATGGTCCCCGGAGCAGCCCCGCAGGTCGTCTCAAGGGCTCCTCCAGGCTGGGCGGAGAGGCCAAAGCAGGCAAGGAAAGGCCCCGGGCTGCGTAGCCAAGGGAAGCACCTGCGCCGAGGGCTGGCGGTCCCGGCGCCCCCTGGCGGCCACATCCTGTACTCCACCTCAGGAGCCACAAACATGTCTCCACCACAGTCACTCAGCCGGCTTCCACTGAGATGAACCAGGTGCTGGGTTCAGCAGTGAGGAAAGTCCCCACTGTCACCCGAAGGTCCCAATTTAGTGTCACTTATCAGCTGAGTTACCTGAAGCAAGGGACTTTACTATTCTGAGCTGCATCTGATCTAGAGGCAGTGGAGGGGCTTCAGTCCCCAGAGCAGGGACTGCAGGAAGGGCTGGGGACCCATAGCCTACAGATTTGGGAATCCCCAAGTGCCCACCCACTTCTGAGGTAGGAAGGCCTGGGGAGATGACATCAACCCATGTGGCTCAAGGCCAGCTCTGCTGTCACAAGAACCAGGGGGCATTGTCCTTCTATTTGACTGAGTGCCCCTGGGAGGGGCGCCTTGGGGCTACAGCTCATTTCTCTAGTCCCTGTGAGGGTCCTGTGGCTGGGGTGTCCACGCTCAGTGGTACAGCACCTGCCCAGCATGGCTCCCTCCCCAGCCTCGAAAAGCCAACCAACTAAAAATGGCCCAATAAGGGTCGTGGGTTCCTTGTGACAGGGACCTTGCCCACCTAGCCTTGTCCTGTTGCTGGAAGGAAACAGGAAGAGGGAGGGGAATTGGAGGGCATCTGTCACAGCAGGAGGGGCCTGCCGTCTCTGACCCCCAGGAGGAGTACGAGGACCTGGACCTCATTCACAAGGAGGAGAAGCTGCAGCTGGAGGAGCTGAAGCTGAGGCACGCGGTACTGGTGGAGGAGTTCTCCCAGATCCTGGCCGAGAGGGAGGTCAATGCCAAGAAGAGGATGGAGGCCGAGCGCGAGATGCTGCGCATGATCAGGGCCGCCACGCTCATCCAGGCCGTGTGGAAGGGCTACCTGGTCCGCTCCATGCTCAAGTCCAAGAGGAAGAAGAGAGTCAAGGGCAAGGGCAAGGGCAAAGGCCTAAGCCAGATCAAGGGCAAAGGCCTGGGCCAGGTCAAGGGCAAGGGCCTGGGCCAGGTCAAGGGCAAGGGCCAGGTCAAGGGCAAGGGCCAGGGCCTGGGCAAGGGCAAGGGCAAGGAGAAGGGCAAGGGCAAAGGCAAGGAGAAGGGCAAGGGCAAAAAGTGAGCCCGCCCAGGCTTCCCCTGCCCCCAGGCCTCACCTCCTCCCCAGACCAGGCCAGCAGCACCAGAGTGCCGAGACCGCCATCTGCCATCCAGGGCTTTGTTTGTTTTAAATTAAAAATTTTTTTTTTTTTTTAAAACCACATTCAAAGGAGCATCCTACAAATGAAGCTGTCTTTACTTGGTTGTAGGCTGGGTGCTGCCTATGGGTGCCCACAGGTACCCAGCTCTGTGTGCAGCTAGGTGTCCATCCACAGGCAACCATTCCCTCCTTCAGCCCCAGTGGGAAATGAGACCATGGACTGCAGCCCCGTCCCAGGCTGGAAGCTGCCAAGGCTGTGACAGACACATCACCCACCTGGGCAGAGTAGGGTGTGGGTCACAGTAATCTGCAGGGGACAGACCAGGACCAAGCTGGGCTTTGGGCTGCCCTAGCCCTGCCCTGGGATGGTCGGCTTGCCCCCTGGCCCGTGCAAGCTCACGGTCCAGATGGTGCACACCTGCAGCCTCCTGGCCCCCAAGAAGTTGAACGCACTGGGAGCTATCACTTAGCAACCTCGCTGCTTTTTTTTCTAGAAAAATCTCTTCAACTCTTAGGTCTGCAGTTGCCCACCCCAGACAGTGTAGACTGCAGGTGGCCCAGTCCCAAGGCTCCCAGTGGCCTCCCACACACTGTGCTGGCCACCAAGCATCCCACTGGACTATGGCTAGCTTTTGGTGTAGATGACAGGAAAAAGAGGCATTTCCAGCCCTTGCCTGTTAAAATGGGAAGGGGGAAGCCATTGAGAGGTGGATGTTTCAAGAAAAAACAGAAGCAATCCTCTGAAAGTCCCAGGAAGTTCACACAGCCCAAGTTTAAAATGCAAAAGCATGTTTGTACCACTGTCTACTTCCCTTGTGGCCCTCTGACCCCTGCAGGCATTCACATCGTGCCCTCATCCTGGACACTGGTTCCTTCCCCAGCCATGTCCCCCCTTCCCCTCCCCAGGGCATCACCAGTGCAGCAATGAGGGTTCCCACCGGGGTCCCTGGACCTGGTGCTTAGGGGAGGAGGGAGTAGGAGGCCTGGGGTCCAGCCCCATCCCGCCAACTGGGTGCTGGGGTCACCCTGGCCCCGGGGGTCCTGCAGCAGCAGAGGCCCAGGACTCCGTCCCAGTCCCCTCCAGGTGCACTTGGGCTCTTTTGTTGTTAAAACAATTCATCTTCTTGGGCTCTTCATTGTAAAACACTGAACATTTCTCCTAAGGTGGGAAATGTATATGCCCCCTCTGATTTCAAAACAAAACCTCAGGGTCCATGTTCTAACCCGGGGGAGCAGCAGTGACCTACTGGCTAGTGACGCCAGCTGGACAGTGGCAGGGGCGGCTTTCCACGATGCCTTCAGGCCTGAGCCCCCAAACTTCAGGAGCCAGGAGCCCCTGGCATCTGCGTCACGTCCCCACACTGGCTGTCAGGTTTTCCTTTATTTAAATCAAGTCTGGCCTAACAACGGCCTATACCCAAGAAGGGAAGAAGCAAGTGACACTCGTGGCCTTGATGAGCGACTGACACATTTCATACATGGAAATAAACACATGAATGTTTAAATGAAAAATGTCCACCCACAAGGTCCTCAGATGCCCTCCTGTTCCCCCACTGAAATGCAGCCCAGGAAAACACCTCTGTGGCCACCGGACCCCAGAGAAAGCTGCGTCCTCAGTAGCAGGCTGGTCCTGAGGGAGGAGGAGGGACCCTCCATTGGCAATCTGCACTTGGCCAGCAGGAGGTTGGGGGGCCTGGGTTGGCACTGCTTCAAGTGGCTAGGACGGGGCCAGAGAGTCAACTCCAGGATGGCCGGCCGTCCACATCAGGGGAGAAGGCAGGAAGGACAGACCCTCAGGGTGAAGGGATGCACAGGAGAGGCTGGTCTCCCAGGGGACCCCCACGGGGTGCCAGCCAGGCAAACCTGGTGTGAGAAGCTCACTTCCAAGGGGGCTTTGGTTTCTGGGTGGCCCCACCTTGGCGCGGGGTGGCGGGCACTGAGGTACTGACTGAGCGAGCCCTGGGAGTCACCAGGGGGCTCCGGAAGGTGACCCCCGAAGTAGAGGGCCTGGGGGCCTGGGGTCCCTCTCCGTGGGCTGGGAAGCCAGCGCTGGGGGTGTTCAGGTGGGTGAGGGACTGGGAGCGCCCCCGCCCTGGGGGGTGAGGGGCTCCGCGGCCACCAGAGGGCAGCTCGCGGGTGTCTGCAGCCACCCCGGGCCCCGTCTTGGAGGGACCAGCCGGATGGATGGCTCGCAGCGGGGTCTCCCTGGGGCGCGGCGAGTGGCCGCCCCTGGGGGTGGCTGGCGGAGTCCAGAGGAGGGCGCGAAGCTTGGCGGCATCCCCCTTCGCCATCCCAGAGGCCTCCGGGCCGGCGGGTCGGGAGCCGAACAGTGACTCATCGCAGTAGGACGGGGAGCGACGGACGACCCTGGAAGGAAGAGCAGGCAGTGAGCTGCGACCAGCCCCCCAGTGCCGCGGCAGACCCCGGGGTCCCCGTCGCCCAGCTCAGCACGTGCAGGGAGGCCACTGTCCCCTCCCGTTCGCTGTCCCTGGGAAGCATCCTGACTCCTGCATCCCGACCCTCGCCCTGGCGAGGCCCTGGGCCGGCCAATTTGCATTTCCCATCCTTTCAGCTCTGATTGGTCCGGGAGCAGGCACATGACCCAAGTCGAGCCAATGAAAACCTGCCTTTGGATTTTTGAGGAAACTAGCAGAGACACCTCTTTGGCCAGCTGGCCTTGCGCTTGCTAGGTCCAAGCAGCTTGTGCCAGCGCACTCCTTTCTGGGGACAGAAGACACGCAGGGGAGGCAGGACTCAGAGTCCTCATGACAGCCTGAACCCCTATTATACGGACCCCAAGTGCCTTTTTTCTGCTGAAGCTAGTTTGGATAAGTTTTCTGACATTTGCCCTGGAGAGTTCCAATTACAGTTGTCCCATGCAGGGGGACTGGTTTCAGGAGGCCTCCTGAAGACCAAAATCTGTGGATGCTGAGTCACTTGTGTAAAATGACACAGACCTTGCATGTGACCCACACACGTCCTCCCAGATAGTTCAAAATCACCCCCAGATTACTGACGACGATTATTTATGAGACCTCATCAAGGTGACGATGACGTAAATGGTTGTTGTACTATATTGTTTAGGGAATCATGGGGGGGGGGGTTTGTACATTATCCAACACAGATGCAATTATTTTCCCCAAATAGTTCTGATCCACAGATGTGGAAACCAAGAATGCAGAGGGCCAACTGGCATGCAACCAGTTCTTTTGTTTTTAAATACTTTAGTTGTAGATAGACACAATACCTTTATTTTATTTTATTTTGGGGGGTATTGGGGATTTAATTCAGGAGCACTTGACCACTGAGGCACATCCCCAACCCTATTTGTATTTTATGAGAGACAGGGTCTCAACAAGTTGCTTAGGGCCTCACTAAATTTCTGAGGCTGGCTTTGAACTCGTGATCCTCCTGCCTCAGCCTTCTGAACTAGGATTGCAGGTGTGGGCCACTGCACCTGGCCTTATTTTTTAATTTTTATGTGGTGCTAAGGATTGAACCCAGTGCTTCACGCATGCTAGGCAAGCGCTCTACCACTGAGCCCCAGCCCCAGCCCCTAGTTTTTATACTTTGCTTTCCTCCCATGAGGTTTTCTTCTTTGCCCCAGGGGTCTTGTTGGTCCTCTGCAGTCCTATTGGTTGCATTTGACATCGCGCTAGCCAGTGCCTGGCTGACAGAGGGTATGTTACAAAGCCAGCCGGCCATTCCACCAGAGCTTTTTACAGTGTGGGATACTCACTGAGGACTTCTTTTCTGCGGGCTCAGGGCTCAGCACGTCACATGTGTTATTGTTTAATTTCTCACAAAGGGCAAACCAAGATATCAAAATTAATCTCATTTTGTAGATAAGGAAACCAAGGCACAGGTATCCCTTGGATCTGGACTGTCCCCCAAAGGCTGGGTGTTGAAGGCTTGGTACCCAGGGCAGCAATGTTCAGAGGTGGGGCCTCTGGAAGCGACTAGATCGTGAGGACTCTGATCTCATCTGTGGATAAATCCACTGGTGGGTTCATCGTTTGAATGGCAGCAGTGGGAGGTGGTGGAAACTGGAGAAGGTGGAGCCCCGTCACTGGGGCTATACCCTGGAAGGGCATATTGTGTCCCCAGCTCCTCCCTCTCCCATCTCTACTTGCTGGCCACCATGAGCTGAGCAGCTCCAGGCCACCATGACCTTCCGCCTGGAAGCTTTGCCTCTCGACAGGCCCAGAAACAACGCAGCCAGCCAACTGTGGTCTCAAGGCCCAAACAACCTTCCTTCAGTTTCCTCAGGTATTTTGTGATCGCAACGAAAAACTAACGTAGCAGGGTAAGGCCCCACAAGAACACTGCAGAGACAAGACTCAAACCACACCTGGCTCAAGGATCCAAGCTACTGATGGCTAAATCACACCTACGTGCTTTCCAGGTCTCTATTCTTAATCAGATTCCTTTGGCAATAATTTATACCTATTAGGTGCCAGGCCTGTGGTGTTTAGGCAGAACTGAGAGTGCTGCAAGCTTCTGAGAAAGCTACCTTTTGCTTCTGGGTTTAGCTGCTCAAACCATATCTGTCTGTTGCCTGCATCTGTACAGCACCAGGGTTCCAGCTCAATGATGTCCCTATCTTCTACACATTCCTTAACTTGTCACATCCAGAAAATTCCATCCTCCGTGTGAGCATGGGGTCCAGTGTCACCTCCATTGTCATGGACAGCATGCTTCTGTTGATACCGCCTCCAGGCACATAAGCATTCCAGCAACTTTTGGGGTGTCATGTCAGTGACTTTCCAATGTCAGTGTTGTTAATCTCATCCTGACTCTTCCTCCAGGTCTAGAACTATCACTCTCAGCCTGCCATGATGCCTGGATCCTGCTTTTGATCTTTGTTGATTTTAGTCTCTTAATAGGTACCATTTCCACTCTCATTTCTCTATCTGACACATGCCCTCCACCCGCCTTAGAACACCCTAAAATTGAATTGGCCAGTGGTTTAGTCAGCTTTTTCACTGCTATGACTAAAAGATCTGACCAGAACAGTTTTAGGAGAGGAAAAGTTTATTTGGGAGCTCATGGTTTCAGAGGTCTCAGTCCACAGACAGCCGGCTCCAGGTGCAAGAGTGCGGTGGAATGGCCCGGCTGGCTTCTAGATGATCATGAAGCAGAGAGAGAGAGACTCCACTGCCCGGAGACAAAATTTATGGCCCAAGGCCACACCCCCAGGGACCCACCTCCTCCAGCCATACCCTAGTCAGTTACCAGTTAATCCCCATCAGGAGACTAATCCACCGATTGGATTAAGGCTCTTATAACCCAATCATCCCTCCTCTAAACCTTCTAGCATGGTCTCAGAGTGAGCTTTTGGGGGACACCTCCCAAACCATAACAGCCAGTTGTTGTGAGCCAAATTGTGAGACTGTAATGACGGGCCCCTGATAGAATAGGACTGGTGTCCTTAAGAGCCCCTAAGAGTGCATACCTGCCCAGGCTGCGAGGAGACCGTGACATGGCCCTCCGTGAGCCAGGGAGAGAGGCCTTAGGAGAAATGAGACCTCCGGCACCTGACGGGGACCTCTAGCTTGCAGGGTTGTGACCAAACACATTGGTGTGGTTTAAGCCACCAGCTTGTGCTATTTTGCTCTGTCGCCTGGGTAACGTACTAGTTTTCTGTGTCCTTGTCCAAAACACAATTACAAATTATAGGATACAGTCCTGTGGTTCACAACTAGAACCAACCGCCAGGCTACATTAATTTGAAATAATCCAGATAATCTAATTATAATTAACTAATAACTGTTAGCATCAGCTTCTATTTTTCTGACTTGTTCATGAAGGGCAACGAGACCCATTTTCAAAATGACTTGCTGAAATTCTGAAACAGAATTTCTTATGCCTTCACAGATCCATCGCTTTAATACTCTACAACTTTCTCTGTGATCTTGGGAAAATCGTCTGATTTCTTTGGGCCTCAGGAGTACATCTACGTCATCTGAAGTTGGGGGTCCCAACTTCATAGTCATTAATACGACCATTTACTGAGAGCTTCCTCAGGTTTAAGTTATAGCACCAAGCACCATGCACCTCTCCATTCTATCCTCTCCACAATACTACCTGGTAGAAAAAATGCAGTTCAGAGAAGTCAAGGTGTTAGCCCAAGGTCACACAGCAGGCAAACAGCAAGGCTGTAACAGAAACCCAGGTGACTACACTGAGCACAGGAGTGCATCTCCCACCCTGGTTACCTGTACTTGTTCTTCTTTTTTGGCGTAAGTGTCGGGGTGCTGCTCCTAGAGGGGGTGGTCTCACAACTCCCCTTGGACAGCGAGGTTTGTGATGGTGATGCCCTGGTGATGGGTCCTCTCGTGCTGTCACTCTTCTGCACCCAGGGTGGGTCAAAATCTGGTGGGGGGGGCCTGGGGCTCACAGGGCTGCCAAACAGAGTCTCATCTACGTAGGACGCCTTGGCCTTGACCCGGTAGCCACCCCGGCAGCGGTGCTGAAGGTGGAGGGTCTGCATCCCACTGATGGCCAGTTCCACGGGGGTCTTCATGCTGCCCGGGGTCCTGGGTGACAGCAGGTTCGCTCTGCCCGCCAGGCGCTGCCTCTAGGGCTCTCTGTGAAAGAGGTCAGGTGGCAGCCCTGAGCCAATAGCAGTGGAGGAAGACTGGCAGTCCCTGAAGTCCCCATCCTCATCCCAAGGGCAAAAGGGTCTAGTTCTCCCAGGATCCGTCCTTCTTAAAGGGGAGCAACCAACCCCAGGGGCATTCTAGAAATTTGTTTCCCTTCATGATGGGAAAAGGGTACTCTTGGCAAGTATTCAATGAGTAAATAATATGTGCTTCACAAATATTAGTAGAATGACTAGGGGTATAAAGGCAGGCCCCATCTAGAAAAAAAAAAATTATGGTGGGAGGGGAGACAGGGGGTCAGGAGAGTCAGGTGATCCCAGGCCTACCTCGTGCAAAGAGCTTTACAAGCATTGTCTCATTTAATCTTCTCAACAGCCCCCGGAAGTAGCTTTGATTATATCCATTTTACAGATCACAAATCAGAGGCTTCAAAAGGTAAAGTCACACATGGCGGTCCTGCCTAAGAAGCTGAAACAGGGGAAGCACGAATCGAACGTGATGGGCAATCCAAGCCTGTGCGCTTAACCGGGGTTCGCACCCTCCTCACATGCGGTGATGCCCAAGTCCGAGCCCAGGGTCTCTGCATTTTTGGGTTACTTTCCTACCTGCACGACTCGGCTTGCGGACGTCGGGGACACCTTCAGGTCCCCCTCCCCGCGCCTCCTTCGCGCCGGGTCTGGACCCCTCGGCGGCGGGGCGGGGCTGCTCGGGCACCCGCAGCGCGCACTGCATTCAAGTTCCTGATCTGCAGCCTGGAATGCCAGGGGCTCGGAACCCGGGGTAGCTCAGGCCGCCGCGACACAGGGCGCCGCGGAGTCACTAGGGCCCCTAGCGACGCGTGCTCCGAGCGCGCATCCGGCAAACAGCAACCAGCGAGCAGCTGGACAGACGCGGCGCGGACCATAGGCGCTTGCGGGGAGTGTCCAGTTCCGGCCGCCCTGGAGTCGCCCAAAGC